TAATTTGGCAAAAGTCGATGAGTGTTCAGGCACGCCACAGAAGCATGGCCGAGTGTTGCCACCATTCAGGCATTTCACGGAAGCAAGATTGATGTTGATGGGGGTTCACTAAACGTCCATCAGACAGCCTGGACCAAGTTCAGAAAGTGCCCTCTAAATAGCGTGGGGTCGTTGTAACTTATGCTCTCACACGCACCCACTTCCTTGTTCGTAATATAGCTGTTGTGTTCCCTTCTGAGCCTTTTTTTCCCACACTAAGCGCTGGAGCGGTGTCAGCAGTAGATATAACACTGGTTTTATCACAACTACAACAATCAACGTTGTGAAGAAAATACCCATGTCGTTCGCATGATCCGTATGAATGACACACTAGTGTGGAATTAGAGTGAAATATGGATAATGAAACTTATTGCTTGTTTGTCACTCTGATTGTGAAACAAGTGTAAACCGAGTTTGAATCTTGAGATACTAAGGGACGGCGTAGTCTGTAACCTTCAACCAAACCGCAACTCTTTTATTCTTTTTCCAAATTCACGTCGGCGTGAAGCACAGCCCACTAGGTTCGTCCTCCTCACGGTTTAAAAATTTCAAGACGGCTATACGGATATTGTGACCGGATTTTTAATAATAGTGTCCTTAGACTGTGGACGCAACTTCCGGTTCGATAAACTTGAGAACACTAAAGAAAGACTGCTCCTTCAAATAAGAATATAGATGGTTTATGTAGACAGGCCTCTCTTCGTGGGCTGTCTCATGAATGCATTGGAATGTCTGGGATTCGTTTGTCAGCATTACACATGCAATGAAAACGCATGCCGATTACAGGCAGACACACGGATGACTGGTGGCGTGGTAGTTACGGGATAACTGAGTGTCTGTACACTATAATGGTTCTGTGCCCTCCAAATGCATCGGTGCAATTTGAACTCGAATATTGATAATTTCTGTATCAACGGATACAGAGGGAACTCTTTGATCACGTTGTACATGGGTGATCACGGTTAGACTAAACGTGTGGTCATACATGGGAGTACTTTTTACGCTGCAACAAGCTTACTTGACCGAACACGAAATGAAACGCCCAGCGACACACAATAGTAAAGGTTTCTTGCAGTGAGAGTTTACGGATAATGATTACCATTAGTAAATATCCATTGGTACGAGGCTGCTCAGCGTACGTTAATCCCAACCAAGTATTGTCTGCTTTAAACATCCACATGTTGATTGCTACAAATCCACTCGATAAAACATATATATATATATATATATATGACCCTTAGACTCATGAATATGAGCAACCTTAATGGCAAGTCTTGTGTCTAGGGTGGACAAAGAGAGAAATGAGGGAACGATATTGAGACGAATTCCACGCTTAAAACTGAGGCAACGACGCAAAAAACAGGAACGAGGGTATCATTTCAATAAACTTTAGTTTATGTGAGGGAAAAGACAGACGAAGAGGGAGATGTAAAGGGAACTGGAATCACTTTGCTGTTCAATGAATTTTGCACGGAGAAGCTCTGCGGCGATGGATAATCAAGTATATTTTCCTGTGCATGTTCACATACAATAGGTGAACGAGGCCGGCAACTCAACCCAGGGCTTGCTGTGGAGAACCACATAATATTCCTGAAGGTTTAGTGGTGGCTGCTTTAGAATACACAAGATAACCTAGGGGAAATAAGGACAGAGGCTTCCGCTAGCTGATTCTTGTGATTACCCTGGTCCCACTTATATCTCTTACGTGGATTGTTCTGTGCGCTCATCGACGATGTCGTTGCTAACGAGGGATAACCATCTTCCACTCTATTTAGCTGTATGCGACTGACAAAACAGCCGGTTGTGGTCGGCATTTCCGGATAGCCTATGGAAATTCTACGCTCCTCCGCCGAACTCAGTCTAAGTGCCATGTCAGACCTGTTAATGTGCTTGCAGTACTGGGTTGAACACCCTAAACAAAAGCAGACACCTCACTTCTAATGCAACAGTAGCGATACGTTGCACAGGCATCAGTTCTAGTCACTATTATTGAGATCTCGAAGTTTTCGATGTCCGTGCATCCAATACCAACTCTGTGCAAACAGTTCACGGAACAGGTAGTTTTATTAGTCAGACTGGTGATCAGGGATTACTGCCCGTTGTCCATCCAGTGAGACCAAGTAGACGGTGCAAACTTTGTAAGCAGTCAAGAGCGGTATCCCCAGATGTCCTCCTTAGGGTGATAACAGTCCATAATAACCTATTTCCCTACGCCAATAAGTAAACTACGCAGCGGAAACTAAGCAACAGTATTGTGAATTACGAAACACCTAATGTGGGCATTCATTCACTTCCGCCAGACTTCGCCTCTCTTGGTTTTGGACCCATTGCAACACGGAGCAACTATTCACGTGACAGACCACTTGTTTGGCGGGCACTGTCATGCCGCGCTCCGGAGGTTTTTCTGCTTGCCGTAAAGCCACCCAGAGGGAAGTAACTCGGTGCTGTTGCGAAGCTTCAGAACCAAGGTACTCAGTTTAACGGTTGCCATACTCGTTGCAGCTTCTCACATAGTTATAGTAGGTAGTTACACCTGACTACTCGACGCGCGAGTACGTAGCTACCTCGATGAACTCTCAACAGAACACCTTAGTGAGATGAAGTTTCTCGCTGATAATTAAGAGCGCTATCTATATCCAGGATTGAAAGAGTTCATTAAGTGATACGCTAGCCCGTGGAGCCAACAGCGTCTATCAAACACCAATTGGTTACGTTCGTCAACCTCACAGGCGAACTCATGTGAACAATCTACTCAGTAGCGTTTTTTCCTACCGATTGGGTTAGTGGAGAATAGGATTGTTGTAAGGGATGCCAAAGCCCGTCCACCCAATCTATGGTTGCTTCTGCTGAATTCGGGCTATGTCCCGTCGCTCGCTGCTTCCACAGGTTTCCTAGCTATATTCCGTAAAAATCTCACAAATCAAGCTTTCGAAAGAATAAATTAAATTAATTAAATTAAAATTTCAAGAATAAATTAACATTCAATTTACGCGGGATGAAACCGAGTGTATTGAGGCTTGTATCAGATGTAGTATTAGACCTACGCACTTAACAATTCGCTCTTGAGGTTCATCCGAACTCACAGGGATTTAATAGGGTGTCCTTACAGGGCACTTGACTTTAAAACTCATTTGACCGAACCGTTTGCTTCCGGAACTTTCGATTTCGCTACGCTTTGTCTTTAGTCTGAGGGCCGCCATCAAGGCAGTCAGCTTCCTAGTTTTTAATGACAAAGGTGGGGTTTCACCGTGGAAGAATGTTTACTTGGCCTCGACGTAGAGCACAGTTTGCGTTACGTTGCGAATCGGTCCAAACTGGCACACTGCATGCTATTACAGAATAGTTGGCGAAAACGTCCCATCTATCCAACGATTCCGTGTCCCAACGTGCCCACTGAGGCAATTTCCAAAACATCAATTTAGAACTAAACTAGAGTGCCCACGCCCCGGTATAAACTGGTTTCACAAGGTGTGCTTTCGAACAACACGTCAATCTTTAACGCTCAATTTAATGAAAAAAACGGGAAGAAACCATTGCATGCCACTCAGAACGAATATGGTGGCGTACGCAGTGGTGGCGCAAAAATTAGATGAAAGGGGCCATAATGAGTTTGGCTTCAGGGTATTCTCGTCGTCAAGACCACACGATCGGGAATGAGACAGTCATGACGAGTTGTACGAAGTCACATTTAACAATCTCACCTTGATCATTAAATACGTCTCTTGAAAGACATGGTTATCCGCACAGAAGTAAGATTTCGAGGTGCTTAACGAAACTTCAGCTTTCATCTTGAGACGAGACATATGTGAGTCGAGAAAACATCTCATTTTTGCTATGCGAATTCAAGGTACCTCAACAAAGAATCCATACATAAACATTCCGTGAGTGAGCACTTCCAAGTTACCATATACGCAAGACAACAATCACGGGGTCTGTGACGGTCTGCACTCAGCGGCTAACACTAAGCGAAGGAAACATCTTATTTTGGCCGGATCCCGATAACCCAATGTGTGTTTCACACAGAACTGGTCTACTCTGTTTACAATATTCTCCATTCATAATAAACCTTGGGTTTCATTCGAAGGCCGTACCAAATAAACTATAGCAGTGGAAAAATTTGTTCCATTTTGCTTATTCGAAGGCAAGCTGTGTGCTCACACACCTGAAACTGATCACCAAGTAACAGTGCCACTTGGCAAAACGCCTAAATATTGGTAGCTCGGGTGACCTTTTTTGTTGACCAGGTGGCGGTTGATCTGTTTGCCCAGCTCGGTAATTGGTTTGCCGGTATTTCGGTGTGCACTCTGCGTCCGTGTACACGACTTTAACAACAACTTGGACAACAAATGACACCTAAAGCTCTGATCATAGACCTTGGACGATCAGTAACGACCAACACCATTACACCCGCTGAAACCCGATACTTCAAATTATTCGAGGAACTCTTGCAGTAGAAAGATCAAGACCACATAGTAGAAAAGCCCATCCAAAGTGTAGTATCCTTAGAGGTTCATTCAAACAAGCGGAAAGAAATCCACTTTGGAACTGTTTCCAATTCATAAATCGACGGACTCATGAAGAACGCAAACCAGGAGCTAATCAGACACCCGATTTTCCGAAGTCAAAATGAACGAAAACGTGATTCCAACCACTTACAAAATTTGTATTCACACATAGAAGCCTCCGGAATTTGTGAGAAAGACAGTCCAAGGAAATTAACTTGTAAGTCTGACACCAGGATCATAATGGGTTGAAGGGAAAAGGCGCCTGACTGCTGGTGCCCCTATTGAAGATCACCAGAGAAACAGCTCAAGTCACATAATCACGAAATGAGTTGGAACAAGGAGCTAGTAGTAGATATGCATACCGTGGACCAAAAAAACAGTAAACGAGTGACAAAATATATACAAAGGACCTTTCTGGTCACTTTCTTTTTTTCTTTCCCTTTTTGATTGGCTCAGAAACAGGAGCAGCGACGCCCATCGGAGCTCGACGAGCCCTCATTGCTGCGATCACAGAGGCAAGGTATAGTAGCAATGTCCGTCGGTTCGGAAATCTGTAGGTACAATTTAGAAGCTTTTTTGGCTCCGAAACTTACTGTTCATTAATAGGCGACCCATCATCCTTCTTCAGTTGTACACGTATTCGCCATCGGATGGAAGGTTCTGTCGGGTCTATCTCCCGAGGATGAACCTAAATGGCAGGAAACTCGTTCGGAGCGGTTGAAATTACCTTGGTTTCTAGCGTGTGTTCCAGGGAAAGTTTCCCAAGAACAAACGTGACTTCCGAGTGTTTTGGGTTGTCAACACCCTTCTCCTCGGAGATTTTACGCCCCCTTGCGCGCGTTCTCCGGCTATTTATGTAACACGGATAAATACATATCCACCTCTCTTTAGCAGAATGCGGCATAGAAGGGTGAAATGGCTCCAGTGCAACTTTGCTCATAATAAGCGTACCCAAGAGTAAAGGGTTTAAAACAGCTGAAAAGACAGATATGTGTGACAGCGTTAGCCAGAAATCTGGGTGTATAAAAGCTGAAACTAAAAAAAAACACCACGCCTTGATGACAGAAACATTCCGCATAAATTCGAAATTCAACACGAATAGGTTGCACTCAAGGTAGAGCTGAAAAGGCGACGGTCGAAAAAAAAAAAAAACACGCCTTGATGACAGAACATTCCGCATAAATTCGAAATTCAACACGAATAGGTTGCACTCAAGGTAGAGCTGAAAAGGCGACGGTCGATGTAAAGTCAGCGGCAGCAGCATAACATCAGTGTTCAACCTTGATGCTTCGCTGTCATACAACCATGCTTTATTTGAAAGGTATATGTTGAAGCGAAGAAGAGGGAAGGGACTTAGTGCTAGACCTCAGGTCCTAACGAACAATTGTACCTTTTATAACACTTAACTGAGATTTGATTTTCTCTCTGTTGTAGCCAACTGAACCTCCATTGGTTCATCTGAGATATAGCCGATCTTCATCTGGTGTTCCTTGTCTTCTTCGTTGAGGTTTTCCCACTCAAGTGACTAGACTATCAAATTGATAGAGTAAATTCCGGCAAGCTCCTAAACAACCCAGCTCGCTCACACATAACACTGGCGACGGGTTTCCGACTATACTAATTTCAGGTGATTTTGGAACACCAGCAAAAACAGTTTGAGCACGCGCAAATGCAGCAAGCAATTGGAGCAGACGCAGCTGAAACTCATAGAAGCACTAACCAAAAGCCTGAGTATTCAGGCTAAAGAAAGCAGCAAATGTCAATCATCAATTTCATCTGCAGACTATTGCTAATTCCATACCGAATTTAAAGCTCCTAAACAACCCAGCTCGCTCACACATAACACTGGCGACGGGTTTCCGACTATACTAATTTCAGGTGATTTTGGAACACCAGCAAAAACAGTTTGAGCACGCGCAAATGCAGCAAGCAATTGGAGCAGACGCAGCTGAAACTCATAGAAGCACTAACCAAAAGCCTGAGTATTCAGGCTAAAGAAAGCAGCAAATGTCAACCATCAATTTCATCTGCAGACTATTGCTAATTCCATCACCGAATTTACTTTTGGGGCGGATGCAGATCGAACATTTGACTATTGGTTCAAAAGGTACCAAGACACATGCAAAGTTGATTTCGCCAAGCAAGATGACCCATGGAAGGCACGGCTGCTACTTAGAAAACTTGACACACGTGAATGTAACCGTTACACGAATTACATACTTCCTACACAGCCCAGTGATCTCATTTTCAACAGCACTGTTCAGACACTTACGAAGATCTTTGATGACAACACGTCCTTGTTCAACATCCGGTGCCAGTGCCTTAAATTGGGCATGAAGGATGACGATCGTGTCGGTTTTACAGCACTAGTGGATCGATAAGGAAAGCGTTTCAAGCTCAGCGATATGGACGAAAATCAATTCAAACGTCTTATATTTATATCTGACATCCAGTCCTCTCGTCATTCAAGCATCCGGACAAGATTGTGGCACCAGCTTGATCAAAACCCAAAGATAACCGTGCAGAATCTCAGTGCTAAATGTCACCGCCTCATTCAACTGAACCACGACAGTACAATGATGGGCCAAGCATCATCTGGCTCACACGACATAGTACACCATGTTTCCGGAAATCATAATAAGACGTTTCAGCGCAGCTCCCATGTCAAACACACTAAACCTTGCACACCATGTTGGTCCTGTGGTGACTGGCATTACGCTCGATTTTGGCCGTTTAGAAAGCACCAGCGCCAGACGTGTCATCGTATTGGTCATAAGGAAGACTTTTGTTTCGCGCAGAGATCAAAGCCAATTGATCACCGAAAGAGTATACGGCTCCTGCATCACAACGGAAGCGGTGCCGATCGAATTCTGTTTTCGTATCATTCAAAGTGGATTTCACACCCCACAGAAAATTTATCACACTTTCCGTGAATAATGATCCCATCTATCTTTAGCTCGACGCAGCCTCAGATATCACGCTGACTTCACGTTCAACCTGGAATGCAATTGGGAAGCTATTGTTTTTTTGCGCAATCTGCTTCCGGAAATAACATACCGTTTACTGGTGAACTCACTTGTGATGTCTTTCAATATTGTTAAACTAAGAGGCGTTCGATACCCCACAGATTTTCCAGATCTAAATTTGCTTGGTCTTGATTGGACAGACCAGTTAAATCTTTTTTGTATCCCTCTACAGTCCGTATGTGACAGCGTGCATCCCACACACACAAGCATTCCTCAATAACTCATACGCATAACCCAAACAAAATTTTCAAATTTTTTGCCAAATAACAAACTTGTCATCAGACCAAAACGTTCACCTTAGCCGCAACTACAAAGAAGAAACACACAAATTGAACGACAGTTCAACCTCCATCATGATGCCGTTCACCACCTATAAACCAGGTGATTTGGCCTAGGCTAAGGACTATCGCAGCGGCGCAGAGAAAACGACAGCTGAGTTGGTAACATCACATACGAAGTTAACATACAGTCTGCCACATGGGTCCATCACGCGAATCAACTTCGCCATGGACACACTGCACCGACTACATCGGGTTACTCGATTTCTCTGGACATATTGTTAGATACTTCTGAGCTACCATCCAAACATGTGCCCCCTAGGCAAATAGAGAACGACACAGTCGAATCCCTATGCATACCAAGACGGTGATTCAGTCGTAACCCAAAACCACTTACACCAATGCAGGTGAAAACCTACACACGTTTTGAAAAGGGAGGTGTTAGGACGGTCATATTCTAACGAAAAATTCTACTTTTTGTAGTACTTCACTCAGATTTCATTTTATCTGTTGTAGCCAAATGAGACGTAGCACTCTTTCTTCCATTGGTTCATCTGCAATACAACCGATCCTCATCAGGTATCGTTTGTCTTCTTCCTTGAGGTTTTTTCACTCAATTAACTAAACTATCAACGTGATAGAATAAATTCCATCACGCTCTTAAAGCACCCAGCTAGCCCACAGACAACAGAAAGTGACGTGAAGGCCAATGACATCGACTGGCAGTCACATCTTGTAGCGTTCCAAAGCAGACACAGTGGGGATCACGCAGTCCATATACCGGAAGGCCGATAGCACCGACAGCACCCAAAATCTTAATCACTTTCATGCCCCCTTCCACGTCAAACATGGGTCACCACTCTGTTTTCGCCACTCGGAATTGAGCACGGAAAACAGTACTATCTTCGCATATGATGGCTCGTCATGAGCGACACATGGCCTAATCAACACAGCTTCTTGTTCTGAAACATTTTTCGACTGAATTTCCCGTTGCACAAGCGGAAACTCACTTTCCAATTGCCTCGTTACGGATTGGCTGACACTAACCCACACAAGCTATGGTTCTGAGACAACGGTTGTTAAAGACCTGAAGACGTCTCAGTTCCATTGCTCCAACAGGCTAAGCCTCAACCATACAACAAAACAGCCCGTGCCGTGATAAACTGAGAGCCAGGGATATACCACTTTGATTACATAGGCGTCTCAAATTGACAAACTGGACCCCAGCGTTGCAGTTTCGTGCATTGACACCATCTATTTGTGAACATAATCGGCCTCTAGATTCACATAGTTCTGGGCGTGTATGAGTGCATATTGAGCTCTCCAAAAGCCTTCCTACAAAAATGATGTCCGACAAGGATGTTCACCTCACTTCATTCTTGTTCAACTGCATCCCTGGTGAAATATTAAGCCGAACTCTGGAATGTCTTGAAAACCCGGCTGATTCCATCATTGCCGCTGAGAGCAATGATGGAGTACGCAGACGACATTGCCCTCATCTTCGAAGACCAAGACGAAGTACATGTCCTGATGAATAGACCAAACACCGTCATACCATCTTTCGGCATGCTCCTTGCACCTTCGGAACGCCACGCCATGCTTCAGAATGTGCAGTCTCTGGACATATCCTTTATAATTCAAGGAATCATTAGGGGCGGTGGGTAATTTTACAAACCTCGGTAGCAGTATTATCTCTGACAGAAGTGTTTTCGAAGAAGTCAGTGCAAGAATCTCGAAGACAGAATAACGTTTGTCAATTTGCGTCACTTGTTGCGTCAAAAAGGCATATTACTGGGTCCTAAGGGAAGCATGTACCAGGCTACAATAAGGGCTATGTTGTTGTATGGGTGCGGGACGCGACCTCGGTGGACAGGTGATGTGAGACGTCCTCGGGGTTTTAACCACCCATGCCTCAGAAGCGTTGCTTGTTTTGGATGCCGTCAACGGATTAGTACCCAGATAATTAGAAAACGAGTATCTGATCGTGTAGAAGGTAATTTAATCCTGGAAAACATCCAGTGTGTTACGTATGCCGAAATATCGTCTACCAAGACGAGTAGTGTTCCCCATGCCTACTTCAGAATGGCGAAAACCGCGAGAGGGACAGGGTATGACTTGACAAAGGGTGTGGAAGAGATTACGAAGGATTTGAGTATTGTTGGTGTAGTACGCCTTCCAGGATGGAGTCCCCGTGACCCCTACTGTGCTTGGCTAGAGACGGTTTCAGAAACCGCGACCGACCGACGTCAGTGG